ATAGTGCATTTGGGAAGGGCATTATCATAATCAACGAAATGCATGCATCAATCGACATATAATAGTTAAAATAATTACTCAAGATTATTTTAGAAATTGGCATGCTATTTGTCATTTATATCACATAGAATCTTATAAACACATAAATGACGAGGAAAAAAAATGATGGCGACCCTATGTAAAATATCATTTTAAACATTTTTGAAGTAACTATAACTAAAATTTAAAGGAGGGATCTAAATCCTTAATTTCAAAATGAAAGTCGAAACTTAATTTAATACACAAAATTATTTCATTACTTATGAAATCCCATACCTCAAACAGAAACTTTCGTGATCAAAATTGCCAAATACTAAGAAGATGATAAAGATAAACATTATGATTTTATTTCCTTGTACACGTAAATATAGGTTATGAATAATGCATTAATATATATATGATACACATTTTTATTTTTATTTTTAACACAAAACATCACTCGAAAGTAGAGCTAAACAAGTAAAATATGCACCACGAAAAAATAACAATTTATCGCTAAATTATCTTCACCTAAAAATATTATTTAAATCAATTTAAAAATTAAGACACAAAGACATTTATATCAAACTTTAAAAAAGTAAAATTTGTCATTTATTTTCATCTACAGGAAAGTAAGACTATGCTCTGATATCATACTGTAATGCCTCAAATTTTATTGACTTAAATTTTGGGATGTTATCGATGTCATTCCATAAACATACTTGATGCGGAAATATTTAATTGGAAATTTAAAACCCTTACATTTATTTGAACTTCTTGAATACTAAATAAAATAAACTTAGTGTCATAAACTTTAGAACATTAAATAGAAACAAAGAAAACACACCAAGTACTCTTAACAAAATTATTCGTGAACATTTCCCTAAAGATTTTATTTGGCAGCCCGCACACCGCTCACTACCATCTACGTCAACCGTACTGACCTGAAATATTAAAATTTGAAGGAGTGAGTGATTATACTTAGTAGAATACGTGCGTCCAAATAATACGATAACTTTTAAACGTAAATTCATAACATTTCATACTATCATTTCATCAAGAGCAATCGGTGATCAATCGAAAGCTCTAACACGTTTGAGACAACCTGAAGGCGATCTCACATTTCATTTCATAGGGACCCGCAGGTCAATTATCATTTCATGAAATAAATCATGTCAAAAAAATTACAATATTGAAAGAACGAGACAATTTGCACATAGTATCCTACTTTGTCAGCTTGAACGAATATGGAAGGCAATACCAAACTCACGTTTCAAATTTTTACTTTCGCCTATTACTGTGCTGAAATATATGTATTTTTTTTTCTTGGGTGAGAATTATTTGGACGTAATGGGGATATTTATAGGGTCCATATCAAAATTTCAAAATTTAGTATAATTGAAATGATGATGCCAATTAAATAAAGTTTACCATTTACGTTTACCTCAATTAAATGTGATTTACGGTTATCTATAGGACAGACTCCCACAAAAGGTGGTGATCAAATTTTTCTGCTTTTTACTATCTAACACAATAACGTGTTTTACTCAATTTCGAAATACGCATGACAGAGTCAAAAGAATAGTAAAGAAACGAATAATGCTATGTATGGTATTTAAAGTGTGATTGGGAAAGAAATGAATTTTTAATAGGCCAAAAATCTGCACATATGTTGTATTTTTCCAGTCTAAATCCCAGTATTCCATACAATCAACCTTTATTTCTTTTCTATATATAAACAACGCATGGTAGCCCACACTTACCAAATTCCAAAAATCAAGGCAACTAAATCATTTAAAAAAAGGAACCTACCTTATCTACCATCTAACCTATAATTTCAAAAATCAAAATGGGACACTCCAATTACGTGTGACAGTATCTCTATTTCCATTTAAGATTTTTAATTCAATTAAAATACTAGTTTTTAATAACTTTTTCAAGTTGCAATATTTTGGTACTGAATTACCCGAATTGATTTTTTTCTTGAGCCTAAAATATGTGATTAATTACAAGCAATCCAACGGGTATAATATTAATATTCTTATCATTACTCTATCACTTTTTAATTTTTGACCCAAATAAAAAAAATGTGTTTAATACCTACATCATTTTAGTCCTCATTTTTTTTTCAAAATATAAAAATGTAACATATAAAACAACTACATTTTTATTCTAAAATTTTCGAGGCGTTACGGTTGAGGTTACTGAAGTATGCGCTTTGGAGGACATCAGCTCTATTTTAGAATCGCTAGGTAAAAACATAAATGATTATGAAATTGTGACATTCAATGTAAATATAGATGAGAATGAAAGGTTGCAAAGAATGGTTGTAGAAGAGACAACTAATTTGGATATTGAAGGGGGATTTAGTTGTGCAATGAGCTTAAATAAAGAAAAACAATTTGCATATGATACGATTATGGAAAAAGTAAAAACCCAATCAAGCGGTTCTTTCTTTATCGATGGTCCTGGTGGGACAGGTAAAACCTTTTTGTACAAAGTACTTTTAGCTGATGTAAGGTCTCAAAATTTAATTGCTTTGACAACCGCATCTTCTGGAATGGCTGCATCTCTATTACCTGGAGGTCGAACAACACATTTGAGGTTTAAAATTCCTTTAGAAATAATTTTTGAGGTTAGCTGTTCGTCAGCAAGCAATCGGCTTTGGGAAATTTGTTGAAAATGTCTTGGTTAATAATTTGGGATGAAGCACCCATGATAAATCGTTATGCTGTCGAAGCTGTAGACAAAATGCTTAGGGATATTACCGATTGTAATATGCCCTTTGGTGGGAAAGTGATGGTTCTAGGAGGCGATTTTCGACAAGTTTTATCAGTGGTTCCAAGAGGAAAATAGGAGGACATAATGAAAGCTACCTTAGTATTTTCAAAGCTATGCCTTTGTATTTGCATCTACCATTGGTTCAGAATATGAGAGTAAAGTTGGATCCCGTGTTTTGAGATTACTTGCTTAGAATTGGAAATGGAATGGAGCAAGAACATACTTGTAAAAACATTAAGCTTCCCGAAGACATAATCTTGCCATTTGAGGACGAAATCACATCTTTAAAAAAATTGATACATCATGTTTTCCCAGATATAGAAGCATGTGGTGATAATTTACAGACTATGACAAATCGTGTAATTCTTACACCTACAAATAAATGTGTTGATTATATTAAAAGAATTTTGCTTGATCAAATTCCTCGTGAAATTTTCACATATTATAGTTTTGATGAAGCCATGGACAAATCATAGCAAGGTTTACAGGAAGATTTTTTGAAATCTTTGACGTCAATTGGTATTCCACCGCATGAATTGAAACTTAAGATTAATTGTCCTGTAATGTTATTACGAAATATCAATTCTTCAAAAGGATTATGCAACGGAACACGCCTTACTTGTTGAAAATTTGAGAAAAATGTAATTGTTGCTGAAATCACAGCTGGCGAATATTTTGGAAAATATGTATTCTTGTCGAGGATTCCGTTTATACCCCTTCAAAGTGATCGAAGTTCAATTCCCTTTAAAGGAACTCAATTTCTAATTAGACAATACTTTGCAATGACAATAAATAAAGCACAAGGTCAAAAGCTTGATTTCGTTGGTTTGTATCTTCCAGATGCTGTCTTCTGTCATGGTCAACTTTATGTAGCATTATCAAGAGCAAAAAGAAGCACAAATATAAAAGTTCTGCTTAAACAAAAAAACACAGAGGATTCAAACAGTAGATGTACTAAAAACATTGTTTACAAGGAATTCTTTCGTTCATACATTAGTAGAATCGCAAATTTTCGTCAAGTATAT